TGTCCTGGTCTAATCCAAGCCAATGGCCCTTGGAGTCCTTCAGTCCTCCTTGCAGATTCAGCTGGAGGCAGGATTGGGTCCAGTTTCTGTTCTCAAATCCTTCTCTTGCCCTTTATAAAGTGCAGTGCTGCACCCCAGAAGTGGCTGCATCTCAGCATTGGGGAAAAAGCCATATAAACACAGCCCCCAATACACCCTGACCCAGAGGTGGCTATATCTCTGGCTCTGGTCTGTTTTCCCCTGCCCCCCTCTGTATTAAGTGAGGATCTAACCCATGTGCCTCCAAATCCCTGCTGATTAGAAATGCCATCCACCCATGGCCAGGGCCTATTTACTGTGAATTAGATGGGCCCATCCACCCAGCACCCCACCCCAGGACAGCCCCACAGGTCCATCCAGCCCTATCTTCTGCCCCCAAGACATTTCTTCTTAGATAGAGCAGAGCGTGCTGAAAGTCAGGACACCTGGATTCCATCTCAGGTCTGGGAGAGGAGTGAAGCCTGGTAGGTTAGAGGGGAGATGGGAGCCAAGACTCATGGGTTTGATTCCCCTGGTCTAGAAGAGGAGTGAAGTCTGGTGGACTGGAGTGCAAGTAGGGGCTAGGACCAGGACTCCTGAGTTCTATCCCAGGTCCAGGAGAAGAGGTGGGCAGTCAAGACACCTGGGTCTTATCCTAGTCTTTTCCCTGCTGCCTCTTGGGCCTGTTCAGTTCCTAGTGCTGCCTGTGCCTCAAGTTTCTCCATCTGTCCCCACCCCTATGCAGTGCAGGAAACTGCACATTCAGATCAACTAATCCTGCTTTAGTCATATTGTGGAGTAGGGAATGGGGGGAGATTAGGTGGGGGCAGTAGCAGTGATCCTGGCCTCTGTGGAGGGAAGGCAAGGCAGCAGGGGTAGAGACAGGAGGCCTCCACTACCATCAGGCACACGGGCTGTGCTCACATGACAGTCACATCTGGAACTCATTAGCATGGCAGGACAGCGAGAAGGGTGGGTGAGGAGCTGGGAGTGTCCCTCCCTTCTCCACGTCACAGCAGCCTGGTTCCCTCCTTGGGTCAGGGCTGGATTGTGTGGACCTGGAGGGAGGCTCACAGTCTGGGGCTGGGGGGAACAGGGAACCAGGTGCAGGAGTGGGAGCTGGGGGCATCTGGGAAGCAGGGCTGGGTCCCTGCTTAAGGGGGGAGTGAACCCTGCCTAAGGGACAGGGTAAAGGAGCAGGGGTCGTGGGGGTACTGGGGCTGGCCCTGCCACATGCTGACTGCCCTGCCCCCTTTGCCCCCCCCATCAGGCATCATCATGAGCTTCCTCCTCTTTGGGGTCACAGCCCTGCACGTCCTCATCCTTGTGCTGCTCTTTGTCGCAACCCTGGACAAGGTGAGGCACAGCCCCCCTACCCAGGGCAGAGGGGTAGGGTGGGGGGGATCCAGGCTTGCAGAGAGTGTGCTGTGATGTGGATCACTGTACGCTGAGGGTGGAACCCAGGAGTCCTGGCTCCCAGCCCTCCCTGCCCTACTGTAGACTCCATCCTTGTCCCAGAGCTGGCGTTTGGGCCCAAGTACATGGGGAGGGAGGGGGTCATCCAGGCCTCCAGGGACCCCACTAATGCTTGCACTGTGCCCACAGTCATGGTGGGTGCTACCCGACGAGGAGAGCGTCAACCTCTGGTATGACTGTCTGTATTACAACACCTCCCAGACCTGGGTCTGCTCCTCTGTGTCTAACAGCGGTGAGTTTGGGACTGCTCCCACCAGGGTGGGAGTTGCCCAAGGGGGTGGTATGAGCTAGTTCTGATGGAGGGGTGGCATCTATGTGGGTTGATCCTGGCTGAGAGTTCCTGGGAGTGGGGCAGAAGAAGGGGCTATGAACTTGTGCATCTCATTCTGCTGGGCTTGTTGGGTGGCAGGGGAGGGGTCAGGCAGGGGCCTGGGACAGCAGGCAGGAAGGGTAGGGTGGGGGTCCCTCTATAGTCAGAGACAGGTTGTGCTATTTTGTGGTGAGGGAGAGAAGGACAGATGGATGGATGGACCATGAGACTCAACACCCAGAGAGCTGAGTCACTCCCTTTAAATACTACTACCCTCAGCTTCCATCTGTATCACCCCCCACCTCTGGGGTGGCTGCAGCTCAGTGCAGGGCATGGAATCCCTACATTACCAACGCATCCCAACCAAGAGGAGATGGCTCTCACCTGCACATTGTCCCTCACACCACATCTTTCTCTCCCCTCTTCCCGGTGACTGCAGAATGGCTTGTGGCTGTCCAGGCCCTCATGGTCCTGGCCCTGCTCTTCTCTAGCTTCTCCTTCATCCTCTTCATGTGCCAACTCTACACCATGGAGCGGGGAGGGCTCTTTTACGCCACTGGCATCTTCCAGATCTTCGCCTGTGAGTGCCCAGCTCGGCACCAGGGAAGCTGGTGGGGGCCTGCTGGGCTACAGCAGGGAGGAGGAGGAGAGGGCTGGGAGCCAGGATGCCTGGGTTCTACCCCAGCCCTGAAGGGTGGTGGGGTTTACTGGTTAGAGGGGGGGGGAATGTCTAGAAGCCAGGACTCCTGGGTTCTCTGTGGATTTGAGCTGCTCTCATCCCCTGCTCCCTCTACCCCCCAAATGACACAGGTCTCTCCGTGTTCACGGCTGCCATGATCTATACTGTCCACGTCAGCGAGTTCCACCAGAAACGGGCACCAGGTGGGCGATTTGGGTACTGCTTCGTGCTGGCTTGGCTCACCTTCCCCCTGTCTCTCATCAGCAGCATCATGTACATCCACCTCCGGAAGCGGGAGTGACCCACGCCCCTTGCACGGGATGCTGGGAGGCTGAGGGAAGTCCTTGAAGTGGGGCAGCCCCTCTCCCTCTTGCCCACCAACAGGACACCGCCAAGCTGGGCTCATTCCCCCCACCAGCCCTGCCCCACCCCTGGGACATTGTGGCACCACCATACCACAGTGTCAGGGCATTCCCACTGCCCTGCCTGTGTCAGGGGAGTCACCTGTGGTGCATTGGGCTGACCCCCATGTCAGGACCCTGCCCCTTCACCAAGGTCTATGGCTGTCACCAACCTTCACTATTTGGGTGCGTGGCCCTACCTTGCCATATGACTTACCCAGGAAAGCATCACCAGAGACCAGCCACATGGCAGGGAGGAGCCTGCTGATACTCTACCCAGGAAGCAATGTAACCATCTAATCAAGGGGAGAGGAGGGACTTAATCAAGCCCCACCCCTCACAATTTGGCCTGTCAACTAAGGTGTTTCACATGTGACCACAGCCCATGGCCTAGCCTGGAAAGGGGAGGGGAGGGGCTTAGCCGAGCTTCACCCCCTTCCTCTTGCTTGTGATTTGCAAACTGTGGGGGCCTATGCCAGGCCATGCCCCCTGATGTCTTTTGACTTTTGTCCACATGAGGACTCCTGGCTGTAGCACCTTCTTATCCCACATGGGAGAGGGCTCATGGGAGGACAACGCCCTTTCTTCCCCTGCGGCAGAGCTTCCGTGTGGTTGGGGGTGACAGGCAGCTCCTTCCAGGTCCTCGTCAATGTTACGTCCCACCATGTTCTGACCCCATCCCCGCTTCCCCCACCTGAACTTTATATTTTATACATTTGAATAATAAAAGAGCTGATCTGGCCATGCCATGGGTTTGATGGTGCTCATTACAGGCCCGAGGGGCTTGTGGGTAGGTCCAGGCTGTGAGATTCACGGTTGGGATACAGCTGCCCACGTGTGACTTTCCCACACTAGGCTTGTGGGTAAGGTGGAGCCCAATGAGAGGGTGGTTGGCTTTCTGGCTGTTCTGTATGTGCCCTTGGATGTATCACACTCACTCTTTGCAGTACCACTGGGCGTAGGACACCAGATCTGCCATAAGAGCTTATTTTGTGGTCAAGTCAATAGCAGGGAACAGGAATCAAAGACAGAAACATCTTTATTGTGCTGAAAATACAGTAGAAATTCACCCCACCCTCTAAGACATTCATGCCAGAAAGAAGCTCCTTGCCCTGCAACAGCAAACCATAACGAGCCTGGCCGGGGACCTGAGCTCCAGGGTAAAGCATGGTGTAGGGGTCAGACCAGGGAGCCAGGACTCCTAGGCTCTTGCCCACTTCAGGGAGGGGAGTGGGGCCAGAAGCTCAACTGCTGTAGACTGGGTGCAGCTCCATCTGGGCCCATTTCCACATCTATAAAATCTGCTGTTCTCCCTTTGTAAAGTGCTTTCAGACCAAGGGGCGAAGGTTGCCAAAGAAATAACATGGGACTCTCCTTAGCATAAGACTGGACAAAGCAGCTGGGCAAGGCACTGGCCCAGCCCAGGGAACATGCAGGTCTGAGCACAGCACTGCTGGGCAGGATTGTGCCCTGACAGCCCCCAGCAGAAGACGGCCAACCAGCAACCCGCAGCAGAAGGCTGGTGACTGGACCCGTTTGGCTACAGCCACAGCCTTTAACACTCATAGCTACTTGTTTGTCAGAGCGGGGACCCTCCAGGAAGGACTGAATTCCTGTTCCTTGAGCCAGGCAGGCTTGGAGCCAGGACTCCTGGGCTCTAGCCCAACTCCAGGAAATGAGCAGGGCTGGGTGAGGCAGGGTGGGGGCTGGGTACCTTCCCCTTGGTAAGCAAAAGGAGGTGGTACCCCTGGCATCTCCTGCTGTGCATATTCTCTCACCTCATCCTTCTCTTCATGGCCACCACCTGAGCTCTCAGTGTCCCCTCATCACCATGGACCCCAGCACTTACATGAGGGGCTGTAGGATGCTCAGAGGGAAAGCTGGGGTTGACAAAGCTCCAGAGGCAGCAAGCAAATCCCCAAGCAACTGCAGAGCAATACCATACACAGAGCTTGGCAGGACTCCCAGAATGCACTGGGAACAAAAATCAACAAGCATGTAAGGGGGGACCCCCAGCACAGTCCTGGCCAAGTGGGGTTGGGCACTCCCTCCTCTTTCACCCCCAACTAAGATATAAGTACTAGTGCAGCATCCTGGAGGGAAGGGTGCTCCTACCATAGTGCAGGTAGAGTCCCAGGGGTCAGTGTGACCTCCACATCACAGTGGGGTTAGGCTGGGCACCCCCATGGGGCGTGGGCTGGCCCCCTCAAAACTCTGTAGGTGTTGGCAGGCACGTTCAGCACAGAAGGAGATGTGCAGCCCCGAGTGGAGATGCAGCCATGCCTGGATCTGCTCCTGAAGCCGGGCCACTGTTTGGGCATCTGCAGAGACAAGAGAAGACAGAGCCAAGGGCACCCCCTGCTGTGAGCCCCCCAACCTCTGGGCTCTGAAGTGCCCTTTCCCCCTCACTCCACAGAAAGTACCCCCAAGCTCTGGAGCCCTGCCAAGCCCCCACTCCTGTCCACCCAGCTTCCAGCCCAGGATCTCCCAGTCCACTGAGAACACCTACCCCTAGGGACCCCTAACACACAGTCCCAGACCTGGGGGCCTTCCCCCCCCACCATCTTAGGAAGAACAACACTCCTCAATCTCTGCCCTATAGTCCCTCCCTGTGACAGGGCCCCCTCTGGGATGACCCTGCCCAACCTGGGCCATGCCAACATGAGAGCACCCCCTGCTGGCCAGCCCTCACTCAGCCTGGGCCCTGCTTGTGAGACAGCGCTCCTTGCTGGCCCTACCTATAGGGCGGTGCTGAGGCAGGCCTGACTGGCGCCGTAGGAAGCTGTCTGCCAGGATGAGCTCCTTGGCATGCTCCTCCAGTGCCCGCAGAGCCAGCGCCCCCAGCAGCTCCGAGTTGTTGGAGGTGCTGCGGTAGTAGAGCATGTGCACCAGCTCCAGTGAGTGCACGTTGCGGCGCCGCCCAAACACCTGTGTGGGAAAGGCAGTCAGGAACTGGGGTCTCACTCCAGCTCAAGGAGAGGCTGGCAGCCCAGACTCCTGGGTTCTCTCCCAGCACTGGGAGAGGAGACGCAGTGGGCTAGAGCTGAGAGGAGGACTCCTGTGTTCTAGCCCAGCTCTGCTGCTGACCTTTGTCAATCCATTTCTCCCGTCTGTGCCTCAGTTTCTGCCCCCTGCATTATGAGTCTCCTGTCTGGAAACTATGAGCTCCCCAGGGCAAGGCCTGTCTCCCTCCTCCCACTCAGTTTGTGCTGTGCCCAGCACAACAGCAATTCCATTCCATTGGGTTCTTTACAGTTCAGAACACAGTGAAGGCCCTGAATTGGTCAGGGGAGGGCCACATAGAGAACCCAGTGCAACGGAAACCTCAGCATGGGCGGTGGGATCTGTGCAGTTCCCAAAGCAACCAGCACCCCTGCACCCATGACATACCTTCCAGGCACGGAAGCTCATGAAAGCAGCAAAGCAGAGGAGCAGGAAGGTGGTGCCGACCTTGAGGTCAGACAGCACCACCATGCCCACATTGACAAAGAGGGCCAGCCCGCTGACCAGCAGCATGGCATTGAGTAGAGCCCGGTAGAAGATAGAGGTGCGGATCTTCACCAAGGGCAGCAGGTGCTCCAGTGCCTCCAGTGGGATGTCCTTAAAGCACTTCAGCACCAGGTGGGCATTCTTGGGCCGCGCTGCCACTACCATCCGTTTGAAATAGCGCCTGCCGAAGACAGAGGAGGGGGCTTGTCAATAGGACATGGAGAGGGGGGAGGGCCGAGGAGAAGGAGCAAGGGGCAAAACTGTAGTTCCTAGAGTCATGAGCATCTTATGCTGTACTAGATGAATCTTCCTGGCAACCTGTCCTGGTGGGGTGGGGGGGCAAGGGAGGCAAAGAGCAGGTCCCATGTCACTAGCTCAGTTCTCAAGGCATGAGGATGGTGCCAGAGCCAGAGAGTGGCCAGGTCAAGATGTGGGCTCAGCATTGCCTCTACCCAGTCCTGGGCCATCTGAAACCACAGCCACAGAGCACCTCACACCAGGAACAGGTTAAGGGTTAACTGCATTTGCTACATCTTTGTCAAAGAGCAGGGTGACCAACACTACAGGCCTAAATGGAATGTTCCCAGTAAGTAGCATAGCCTTCCCAAGAGTAAAGCACCCAGATCCCAGTATCGCCATGCCCAGTACTAAGCTTCCTGCCCCACACACCCTCCAGTGCCCAAGCTGCTCTGTTCTCTGGTGTTCTGGCCTGATGAGGCAATGGTCACAGATGGACCAGGAAGAGAAGACAGAGAAGACTGAGGTTTCCTTGCCTTGGCATGAGGGGAGCTGTGCCAAAGAATCCTTGCTGGGGCCTCAGGGTGGATTTCACTGGAAGAGGCCCAATGCGCTGACCGAGGGCCCAGAACCGGATGTATTCGTACTGGTCCAGGTTCACCGTCACCTGGGGAAGCAAAACAGAACCTGCAACTCCAGACCATTGCCTCCTAACACAGTGAGACCTGGGGTTGCTGCTGGGGTGTGATGTAAGGGCTGGTTATACAGAGACCACACACCCAATGCTAAGATGGAGCCACTTATGGGTAAAAGTGCACTGGGGAGCTGTTTCTGAATGGACCCCTTGCCCAGTGCTGAGATGCAGCTCTTCTGGGGTGGGGTGTAGGGACTGTTTATGCAGGGACCTCTCACCTGGTGCTGAAATGCAGCTGCCTCTGGGGTGGGACATAAGAAGTTCTATTGCCCCCAGTTACAATATACAGCTGAGGGGACCAGAGGAGCTGATCAGAGGTGGAGCCCCGGGATGGGATGGGACATGGAATAAGGGAAGTCTAAGAGCTCCCTT